AATAAATGTTTTTCCTAATCACATATCCTACATTTATTTCTGTGATAAGGTTTGTGCATGCTTCAGAATGCACAATCAGATTTCCACATACACACACATATAGTTGAAGGTGTCAGATTTTAGTGCCTCATTTTCTGGTGTTCAACCTATGTGAGCAGAAGGGGAATGAGGATGTACTTCTACTTAGTGAAGCTACAGTTTCCTTGTGTCTGTTAACTGCATAGTGCAGATACAGCTATTTGCACTATTCAGTTAACAGTCTTTCCAATACATATTATGGTAAAGATCTCCAGTGGTTTACACCCAAACATGTCAACTGTTTCTTTATATTGTACACTAATTTTCATCTCCAAAATGGGGCACCTTGGATAGTTCATTTATGTGGAGGATGCCATTTTTGAATGTTCCTCCATGTAAATAATACACAAAAAATGAAATTTTAACACTAAAGGTAAAGCCCATTTTACTTTGGTAAAGCCCACTTTACTTGCCCTATTTTTTTTGAAAAACAAGCAGAAAGCATTAAAAAAAATCATAGCCGTATCTCAGTTTAGGTTGGCCACTTGCAGATCAACAAATAGATGAAACACATGTCTGAAAGAGGACAAAAAGAGAAAGCATGTGAGAGAATGTGTGTGCCTATTTTTATATATATAGATACAAATTTAGAAATACTATCATTTTAAATTTACATTTAAAATTTAAATTAGTTAAATTTAAATATTATCATTTAGAAAAGATCCTAAAATATAAAGACATGCAACTCAGCACAAAAGTTAGAAGCATACAAATCAATGTATTCCCTGGAGGAGGGCAAACATTGTCCCCATCTTCAAAAAGGGGAAAAAAGAGGATCCCAACAACTATTGCCCAGTTAGTCTGACATCAATATCAAGAAAGATTCTAGAACAGTTCATTGAAAAGAGAGTCTGTGAACATTTAGAAAGGAATACCATAATCACTAAAAGTCAACATGGGTTTCTCAAAAACAAGTCATGCCAGACTAATCAGATCTCTTATATATAATTACCAGCTTGCTAGATGAAGGGAATGCTATAGACATAGCATATCTTGATTTCAGTAAGGCTTTTGACAAGGTCCCCCACAATATTCTTGCAAACAAGATAGTAAAATGTGGGCTAGACAATACAACTGTTGGGTGGATTAGTAACTGATTGACTGACCAAACCCAAAGGGTGCTCAGCAATGGCTCCTCTTCATCCTGGAGAGAAGTGACCAGTGGTTCTGTCCTGGGCCCAGTGCTATTCAACATCTTTATCAATGACTTGGATGAAAGAATCAGGGGCATGTTCACCAAATTTGCAGATGACACCAAATTAGGAAATACCCCAGAAGACAGGATGAAAATTCAAAATGACCTTAATAGATTAGAAAGCTAGGCCAAAGTTAACAAAATGAATTTCAACACAGAGCAATGTAAGGTACTGCACTTAGGGCAAAAAAATGAAATGCATAGATATAAGATGGGGGGCACCTGACTTAACGAGACTACGTATGAAAGGGATCTAGGAGTCCTAGTAGACCACAAGTTGAACATGAGTCAACAGTGTAATATGGCAGCTAAAAAGGCCAATGCAATTTTAGGCTGCATTAACAGAAGTATAGTATCTAGATCAAGGGAAGCTACTGTATTCTGCATTAGTCAGGCCCCACCTAGAATACTGTGTCCAGTTCTGGGCACCACAATTC